AAGTGTGGATAAACCATATCCAGAGCAAAAGGAAGGTCTTATGATCAAAAGACTGAACAACGGGGGGAATCTGCACTAACTCAGCAGCCTGGATATCAACAACCCAATGTGATTTTTGTCTTTTCAGAAGATGAGGCAAGGTGAGGGGAAGATGTGGATGATTCTGATACAGAGCAAAAGAAAGAAATGAAAAGGCTTGTGGGCAAAAGGCTTACCTACCACTGAGATCTATGATAACTCAGCAGCCTAGACAATAATCCCCAAACAAGCAGTGTAGAGAGTGAACCAGTGGAACCTGTTCAAGAGGAATCAAAGGTATACCAAGTTTCAAGGACTTGACCTCACAGATTCCTAGAATTATCACTGGAGGAGAGTGGATATCATCACAGTCATGAATATCACGACATCAGAGTGAATACTCAGTAGAACTTAGATCAGATTGAAGAGTAAAGAACAAATGATACAAATACCCCAGAAGATATCATCACCAAACAATTTCAGTTGAAATCTTGTCTCCAATGGGTTATATATCAACGTGCTATTGACCTGCCTTGGGTTGAATGTCCTCCCAAAACTTAATCCCCACTGTGACAGTATAAAGAGGGTGGGAAGTCCTATTATGGTAATTGGAAGGTGGGGCCTTGAAGAGTTGATTAGATTGTAGGACCATGCCATACTGAATGGATTAATAATGGTGGTCAGGGGTGTGATTCTGGGGGCTTTAAAAGAAGAGAAGTTCTCTCTCTCTTCTCTGCCATTTTCTGCCATGTGAGACTCTTGGGTCACTGTCATCACTATGAAGGCCTTCACCAAATGTGTTCCCTGAACTTTGTACTTCTCAGTCTCCGAAAATGTAAGCAATAATTTCATTTTCTTTATAAATCACCCAGTTTTGGGTATTTTGTTATAAGAAACAGACTAATACATGACCCTGTCTAGGACAGGCCACCTAATTTGTGAGGCCTAGTGCAAATGAAAGTGAGGGGCCCCTTGTTCCAAAATTATTACTTTCAAGATGTCAACAGAAGAGCATTAAACCAAGCACAGGGTCCTGCTGAGCATGGGGTCTTATGCTATTGCACAGGTTGCATGCCTGTGAAGCTGGCTCTGGCCCTATTAAAGAGAATGGAAGTCTGAAGTTTTTCTTTTCTTAAAAAATTTGACCGGGAAGGGTATCTTAACCCTTGACTTGGGGTTGTCAGCACCACGCTCTCCCAAGTGAGCCACGGGCCGGCCCTGTGGGTCTCCTTTTGTACTTTTGACCGGGCCCCACAAATAATGGCAGTGTGCCCTTTCCTTACACTCTTTCCTCAAATCCAGCTGTCGTAGTAGGAAGTTACTGAAATGTGGCTCTCCTCCTACGTTCATCTTCCCTCCTTTCTCCACTAGTTAGGACTCCAAATTCTAACCTTGTTCACTTCGACGCCCAGTTGGAACGAAGACGCTAGCAGGACGCCAAGCAGCAACGCTGGAAACAGACAGGGTCGCTACTGGGACCGATTTCCCCACCAAGCTCCGCCCATTGCGCCTGGCGCGAGCCCCGAGGCATCCTGGGACGTGTAGTCTTTGGAGGAGCAGCCGTCTCCACCAAGTCTCCTCCCCAAAGCGTCCGACAGCGCCTTTCGCCCTCGGGCGTCGTGACGTAGAGTTCCTCGCGTCCCTTGCCTCCTCCCTCTTTCCCTCTGGAGAAGCTCAGTCTGGGACTCCTGAAGACCTTTTACGACGTTGGGTCTCAGAGTCGTCCTGGGCTCCGGGTCCACTTTTCGGCAAAGTGACGTGGACGTCAACAGCAATGGCGGAAGGAGAAGAGGTCCTGCCACTGCCAACGTCAAGCGGCGGCGGCTGGTGAGAGAAAGCCAGGGGCTAATTCCCACTGGCGCTTTATTTTTCCTTCTTGTCCTGCCGCCCTCAGAGGCACCGACCTAGTGTCGGCCTGGAACAGGAAGACCCGTCCTCGCGGGCGACGGCTGGTGAGAGAAAGCCAGGGGCTAATTCCCACTGGCGCTTTATTTTTCCTTCTTATCGTCCTGCCGCCCTCAGAGGCACCGACCTAGTGTCGGCCTGGAACAGGAAGACCCGTCCTCGCAGAGTCCGGTGCCCTGCCCCGCCCCCTCTGCCTGCCGGGTCCCCCTGCGCCCCTGCGTGCCAAGTCCTGCTTGAGGGGCTGGGCCGGGACGTGAAGGGAGGGTGTGTAGTCCGCTGCTGGGCTGTAGTCCTGCGCTTCCGCTTCGTCCACCCGTCTCCGAAATGTGTTTGAGACGGTGGGTTCAGGGCTGGGTTTAGCCGGAGTCCCTGGCCGGGGGAGTTGGAGTAGGCTGGTTAAGGAAGTTTCTTGGATACCGGTCTGAGGCACAAGAATACCATTTGAAAAAAAGGACTTTTTGAAATTACCACCTCGACCTTTGCCTAAGGGTTCAGAGGTTGAGAGATACACCCAGGGAGGATTCCTTCCACATAACTGAGATTTTTTTTTTTTTTTTCTGATTTTTATCTCGTTTCGCGTTCCTACTGTTTACACCATTTGTCTCTTTCACACAAGTCTCTTTCCTTCCTACCACTTTCCTCAGAGTTCGATTTCACATCTTTGGGTGCAACGTGGTGCTTTGCTCTTGCTGCTCCCAAGCCTTTGAATGCTTACCTGATTTATACTCGAGACTTTACTCACTCAGTGTTGTTAATCTTTGGGAAAGACTCCTTCTTTTGAAATAGTTGACATTCACAATACACTGTTAGTGACAAGATCATAAAAATAAGGAACTTTTAAACGCTTGTCTAATTTTTACGATTAATCTAAGTGTATTGACCACATACATTTGTTAGTTTTGGATTTGCTTGTTCATCGTATTATATGCATACAGCTCACTGGCATTCTGTTTATCTAAATATGGTACAAGATATTCCATTGGCATTAATCCCTAAGAAAAAGTAGAAATCTTTGAAAGGGATAGGTAATATAGTAATTGAGAAATTCAACTCTCAATGTGGAGACACAAACATTTCCTAAGTGTATATACTCTCCAAGGTATAGGAGGAAAACTTCTGCTGACCTGGATGTAGTTTCTTTCCTCAGTTTGCTTACATTGAAGGGGGGAGCTGTGACATGTACATTCAGTAACAAGAAAAAATTAACCTCATTCTTTGGGAGTATGAATAAAAGTGTTATGGGAGTTCAGGGAGGCAAAAGCCACTTCCACTTGGAGTTATTGGGGAAAGCTTGATGGAAGCAGTGATGTTTTAATTGGGTCTTGACTAACGAGTAGGATTTAGACCAGCGCTGTACAATAGAAGTACATTGTGTGAGCCACAAATGTAATTTAAAATTTTCTAGGAGCCCCATTAAAGACTATAGAGAAACAAGTGAAATTAGTTTTAATAATCTACTTTAGTCTAATATATCCAACATATTATTATTTCAACATGTAATCATTGTTAGACAATAATAGTTAGGCACTTTTTCGTCTTTTTCTGTACTGAGTCTTCAAAATCCAGTGTGCATTTTACATTTACCCTACATCTCAATTCACTGTAGCTACCTTTCGGATGTTAAATATCTATGCATGGCTGATGGCTAACATTGGATAGTGCAGAGTCAGGTTAAGAAATGGGAAAGGCCTCTGAATGTAGTAAAAGCATAAGCAAGGGCACAGGCAAGACAACTAATGCTTTGTTTGGAGAGTAATAACTAGAACTGCCGGTCAGAAGAGAAGTTGTAGAAAAATAGGTCTGGAAAAACAAAAAGTTCTTAACCACTTAAAGAGGTCTTTCAGTGATACAGACGTAGTGAAACTTTTCAGAAGATGACCTAGCTGGTTATAACATGAAGTTTGCTCTTTTGGAAGAGGGAATTGTTGTATCATAAATTGGCAGTAATCAGCTGATTGAGGGTCATGAGGGGAAATGTTTTCAGAGTTAATGTGTCTTTGGGGAGTTCTTAGGTTATGAGGATTGTGAGCATGTTTCTGGTTCACAGGGGAAGGGACAGTGGAGTGAATGGTTGCTAGGGGTAGCATTTGTTCTTTTTTGCTGTATCTTTGGCGTGGCTACTTATTTTTCCTCTTCTTTTTTTTTTTTTTTCCCATGAGTGGAGGAACCCTGAGATGTTCTGTTGTGATTTCTATTCTCCTTCTCTTTTTAAAAAAAGAGTAAATGTTTTTATTTTAACTTTGTCAGATGGAAGTTTGTCTAAAGTGTATTATGCGTCTCACTGCCTAAACCAAACTCATCTTAATGACTTAGAGTCCTTTAGTTTACAAATATAAGTGTATAAGAATAAAACTAGGTCCCTGTCCTCAAGGAATTTATGGTCTAGTTACAGGAGACATGTTTAAGAACATCAGTTTTGTGCTACTGTAATATGGTGAGACCTTTAGGGCCTATCCAGGCACATAACGGTAGATTATTGCTGTGTTATATTGCCCCCACACAGCCATTTCTTCTTGAGATTGCTTTTTTATAAGTTTTTCCTGTTTTCTTTCTTTGTTGTCACTGGTATCTCCCAATTTGTACCTAATCTGTGAAACTAGGTCGTTGAACTTGTTAAAATTTTATATACATTCTTAAGGCTCAGGACAGGGTTTGAAGATCTTAAAAGTACATGGACTCCATGGTATCACTTTTACTTATTTTCTGGTTTTCATTTATGTTCTAGATCAGTCCTTCTCAAGATTTAAATGTATGTTAGAATTAGCTGGGGAGCTTGTTAAAATGTAGATTCTGATTCAGTAGATTTGGGGTGGGACCCGAGATTCTGTATTTCTGACTAGCGCTTAGGTAATGCCAATTCTCCTGGTGCATGAACCACACTTTAGTTAGTAAGGTACTCGATAATGTATATCTCAGAGTGAATAGCTCAGAGGAATTTATCTCTTTATATTATTTATTAAATGTTATTGTATCACCTGACATTATACTATAATTTATCTAATTACATGACTAATTGCTCTTCAGGTTGTGAACTTCTCAAGGGCAATGACTGATATCGGGTGGCTCAGTAAATGTTGAATGAATGTATGCATGAATGAATACAGAATTGTGTATACTCATGTCCAATATAGCATACCAATTGTCACTTGTTATAAATTTCCTGACTCCAGTGTTTTTGTGAGCTGTGTTATTGTCTGCTGGTATAATTCCCATTCATTATGGAAAGCCAAGGTGATCAGAAACTGCCTCATCTCTCAAGCTTACTGGGACTTCAGCCATGTAAGCTCAGTTTATGAGTAGGAGTCTTGTGAACAGAATTGAAATTCTTGTAAAAATTTTTATGGTTTGAAATTATTTAAATTTAGTTTTTAAAATTATATAAATTATGAGAATCTGTATTTGTAAAATCAAACAATGTTAAATTGTTACAATTCAAAATTGGTAATTATTCTTTCTTGGTATTGAAGAAACCAGCCTCAAATTTCAACGTATGTTCCTTATTTTCTGAGGCTTTCTTCCTGGAATAATTCCTAAAGATCTGAAGTCATAATTTTAAAAAACTTTTTAGATTTTAGTTACACAACTGTTGATGTTCTGAGCTTGTTTAATTCAAAATTTTTACTCAATATTCACTTCTAATTGGTGGTTCTAATTTATTGCTAAACTCTTTAATTATTGCTAAACTTTTCTTAGAATTGTAAAAGTATCAATTCCATGAAGAAGCTTCTATTGTTGTTAATTTGAGATGTGAATAGGAATTGTTTTGAGAATAATAGGTTCTTTTTCAAAGTATTATGCGCTCTGTAAATAGTACTTTTTTTTTTTTTTTTTTTTTTAAGACGGGTAAGGGGATCTTAACCCTTGGCTTAGTGTCGTCAGCACCACGCTCACCCAGTGAGCTAACCGGCCATCCCTATGTGGGATCCAAACCCATGGCCTTGGTGTTATCAGCACCACACTCTCCGGAGTGAGCCACAGGCTGGCCCTGTCAGTAGCACTCTTGATGCTCCCCACTTCATATGTATTAAAATATGAGGAAAGATTTAAAATGTCACATAAGGACTGATCAGTGATTGCAATTTCAGACATGATATAATCAATAAAGAAATATGTTGGGCCGGCCCGGTGGCGCACTGGATAAGTGCGCCGCTTGGGAAGCATGGCGGCGCTCCCGCCCGAGGGTTCGGATCCCACATACAGACCGGTTCCCGCTCACTGGCTGAGCGAGGCGTGGGAGCAGCACCGAGGGTTGCAATCCCGTTGCCGGTCCCCGGTCCGGTACGGGGGCAACACTGAGGGTTGCGATCCGTTGCCGGACACGGAAAAAGACAAAAGACAAAAAAAAAAAAAGAAGAAATATGTTAAATATGAAAGAGAAAGGATCCCTTTGTTTAAGGAGAACTTTGACAGTTTGTGGGACAGGAGGCAAGATATAACCTTAGGAAAAATGAAGAGAAAATGAACTTTATTTCTTAAATTAGGGGTTATTAAGTGACAGCTGTTTGATTTTGTAAACCATAATTAGAAGGCAGGCAAAGATGAGAAATTAAGACTTATTTTGTTTATACTATTTACATTAAAGTCTTTATTATAATTCAGATTTTACAGTTTTTAGAGGTAATTCCTAAGTAATAATTCACTTCTAGGATTCTGTTTCCTGTAGATGTCTTAATATCCTAAGATTATAGTTAGTCATTGGTTTTTGCATGCTAAAAATGTATTTCAAGTAATTCATTTTCATCTATATGTACTCACTGCAGAGAGGGGGCAAGTGCATACCCTGTATAAGTAGAGTGAGGTAATAAAGGTATTTCTGGAGCACCCAGTTAAGTGTATTGCAATATACAGCCAATTGATGAGTAGGAGTCTTGTGAACAGAATTGTTAAAATGTTTGACAAAGCGTTTCTGCTGCATGGTGCTG